TGTTTGTAAATTGAAATAGGACATGCATTTTCTACATTATGAGGAAAAATATTTCTGTTTTAAAACCTTGGAAACAGAATAGAAAGTGAAGACAAAATGGTAGTAGCAAATACGGATGTTGTTGTTGTTATGTGCCTTCGAGTCGTTTGCGACTCATAGCGACCCTATACACAACAGCCCTAAACCCTGCTCTATCCTGTGCCAACCGCACCACCTCTGACACACCCATCCCGATTACCCCAGTCACCGAATCAATCCATCTCATAGAGGGTCTTCCCCTTCTGCGCTGTCCCTCCACCCTCCCAAGCATGATGTCCCTCTCCAAGGACCCGTCCCTCCTGGCAACATGTCCAAAGTATGTCAGACGAAGCCCCAGAATCCTTGCCTCCAAGGAGTAGCTTGGTTTAATCCTCTCCAAGATGAATCTGTTTGTTTTCCTGGCAGTCCATGGTACATTCAGTACCCTTCTCCAGCACCACAGCTCAAAAGCATCCACTCTCCTTCTGTCCTCACCCTCTATTTGTGTGTCCGTGTGTGTGTGTTGACATAGAACGGGGTTCTATGTCTATGTGAAGTCTAAATTGTTTGATATAAGTACCTCATTTTTTGTTTTCATTGTTGTTGTTGTTACATGCCTTCAAGTTGAGTACAACTCATAGCAACCCTAAGAACAACAGATCTGAACCCTGTTCTATCCTGTGCCATCCTCATGCTTCCTGAGACACTAGAGCCCATTGCATCAGTCACTGTGTTAATCCACCTGCTTGAGCGTCTTCCACTTCTTTGCTGACCCTCTGTCTTTTGAAGCATCATGTCTTTCTCCAAGGAATAACCCCTCCTAGCAACATGTCCAAAGTATGTGAGGCAAAGCTTTATCCTCTTTGACTCCAAAGAGCACTAAGGCTGCATTTTCTCCAAGACATATTTGTTCTTTTGTCAGTCCATGGGATATTCAGCACTCTTCTCCAACACCACAGTCCAAAGGCATCAGCTATCACCCTTATTTACTGTCCATCTCTCAGATGCATAGCCAGTGATCAGAAAGACCTTGGCCTGAATCAGATGCATTGTGGTCCTCAAACTGACATCATTACTCCTCAATAATTTGCAACGTTCTCTAACTGCACTTTCCTAATGCAATATATCTACTGATTTCCTGACTACTGGTACCAAAGGTGTTGATTGTGGATCCAAGGAAGAGGAAATTGTTGACAGTTTCAATCTTTTCTCCATTGATCATAATGTTGCCTTTTGGTCCAGTGGCAGGAATTTTTGTTTTCTTGATGTCAAGATGCAATCCATATTGCGTATTGAAGGCTGTATTCTTTAATCTTCTGCAACAACTGCTTTAAATTCTCCTTACTTTCAGCAAGCAAGGTTGTGTCATCTGCATAATGCAAGTATTGATGAGTCTTTCTCTGATCCTGATGCCACATTCTTCTCCAAAGAGTCCAGCTTCTCAAATAATTTGCTCAGTATACAGATGAATGGATATGTAGAGAGAATACAACACTTGTACATTCTTCATTTTAAACATTCTTAATTTTAAACCATGTAGTGTTCCCTTGCTTTGTTCATACAACAGCCTCTTAGTCTAGGTATAGGTTTTACATGGGGACAATTAAGAGCTCTGTTTTTCCTATTCTTCCCAATGTCAGCCACAACTTGTTATGATCCATACAGTCAAATGCCTTTGCAGAGTAAATAAAGCATAAATAGACATTCTTCTAGTATTCTTAATTGTCAGCCAGGATCCATCTGACATCAGCAATGATATCTCTGGTCCACAACCTCTCCTAAATCCTGCTTGAACTTCTGGCAGTTCTCTATCTGTGTACTGTTCTAGACGTTTTTAAATTATTTTCAGCAGTATTTTGTTTGCATGTTGTATTAATGATATTGTTCAATAGTTTACACATTCTATTGGATTATCTTTCTTGGGAGTAAATGTAGGCCTTTTTCAATCCATTAGCCAGACAATTATCCTCCAAATTTCCTGGCATAGACTGGTGAGTGCATCCAGGGCTGCATCTTTTAATTGAAACAAGTCGATTGGTATCCCATCAATTCCTGGGGCCTTATTTTTTGCCAATGTGTATAATGCATCTTGAACTTCTCTTTCATTACGATTGGGTCCTGCTCATATGGTACTTCCTGAAAATTTTCAGTGTCAGTCAGTTCTTTTTTATAACAGTGACTCTGTGTATCCCTCGCGCCTACTCCATCTTCTTTTGATGCTTCCTGAGTCATTCAATATATTGCCTATAGCATCCTTCAGTATTGTGACTCAGTTCTCTCAGCTTGAGAAATGTAGAGCTAGCTCTTCCCTTTTTATTTTCCAATTCCAGCTTTCTGCACATTCTATTATAATAACTTTGCTTTGGCTTTTGGAGTTGCCCTTTGAAATATACTGTTGAACTCTTTTATTTGGCATGTTTTTCCTTTGTTTTAGTTTCTCAGTGCTCTAGTGCAATTTTCAGTTTCTTTTCTGACATTCATTGTGCGTTGGTTTTTTTTTTTTTCTCCTGTCTGGATGATAGCCTTGATATCATCCCACAGCGCATCTGGTCTTCATTCGTATTCAATGCTTTCAACCTATTAAGATGATTTTGAAATTTAGATGGAATAGATTCAGATCATATTTTGGTTCCTGTGGACTTGTAATAATTTTTATCAGCCTTATTTTGAACATACACCTGAGTAATTGATGGTCTGACCAACCTGACCAGTCTGCCTCTGGTGTAGTTTTCACTGCTGATATTGAGCTTCTCTAATGATTCCTTCCTCACATATAGTCAATCTGATTCCTATGCAGTTCATCAGGTGAGGTTCATGTGCAAAATCATTGTTTGTACTTTTTTAAAAAAGTATTTGCAATAAATAAGTCATTGAAAATACAAAATTTAATCATTCTCTTTCCAGCCTCATTTCTGTCGCAAAGCTCATCTTTTCCAACTATCTTCCTCATTGTTTCTAACTTTTGCATTTCAATCACCATTTATCATTAATACATCTTGATTGCATGTTTGGTTAATTTCAGACTGCAAAATTTGGTGAACATTTTCAATTTCTTTCTCTTTGACTCTAGATGTAGAAGCATATATTTGAATAAGAGTCATATTAACAGGTCTTCTTTGTATGCATATGGATAATATCCTGTTACACAACAACATTGTATTTTGGGATAGAACTTGAAAGGGTGTTTATTGTTCTATCAAGGGTGTCAGAGATGATAAGGATGACACTACAGAGGACAGGATTCAGATTTGTTGTTCACAGGGTCACTATGAGTTATACACATCAGGATGGCACCTAACAACAACAGCAACAACATTATTGAAGGATGCAAGTTCAAATTTGAGAAGTTATTTGACAACTATATGTAAGAGGCATTAAATGTTAATTACAACTTTAGTTAAGTAATCCTGTTTTGTAGAATTTTAAATATTAAAACTTAAAGACATACACAAAAAAGATTTTTCATAATAAAATCCTGATTTTTTTATAGTGAAAAATTAAGTTCATATTAAATGCCCAACATTAATAAACACTTCAAGTAAAATTACAGAGCACATAAAGAAAATATGTAGCAATTTAAAATAGTGCTATCAAAGAATATTTAGTAGTATGGAGGAAAGGTTATAATATACTGTTACGTAGATAATTAATTGATTACATAACAGTGTGAATTGTATATCTCCAAATAATTTGTGTGTGTGTGTGCTTCAGTCTGAAAGGCTAGAAGTGAAAATGTTATACCATCTCTGAAGTGTTAGGATTATGGATAATTTTTGTTTCGAATATTTTACAATTTATTTCATGAAATTACTGCTTTTGTAGTTAGAATAGCAACAAAAATCAGAATACATATATGTTGGAAGAGAGGTAAAAAGGAAATACATACTCTGGAATTTACTGCTACAGAAAGGAATGACAGATGACTGTGATTTTCTTATCTATTTATTGTTTCCTATTTTTATTACATATTAAGTTTAAGACCATAAAATTAAAACAAAAGAAAGAGAAAAGCAGAAAAATAATAATAAAAGATTCAACTTCAGGAACTCTTTAAGATAGAAGAAATGCTGAAATGATCATTGGTTTGTTCATCTTCATTCTACAGTTACTGAGTAGAAATGCTGAAATAATCACTTGTTCATTCACCTTCATGCTACAGTTACTGACAGGATGGGTTTTCCAATGTGTCTGTCACTGTGTTAAACAATGAGACTACACTGGAGACACAAAACAGGTGGAAGTTCCTCTGGAATGTGTAGCCCTAGAGGAGGAGCATGATACTGAACACAGGTGTATATAATGAAGTAGATTACATTTTTATGAAAATAAATTCATAAATTGCATATGTGCTCTGGTGGCCTAGTGGTAAGAAGCCACACTGCGATTTCAAAAGCACACAGTTCAAATCCACGAGCTGCTCTGCAGAAGAAAGATGAGCGATTTTCCCCACTCTAATTTACTGCCTCTGAAAATTCTCTAAAGGGTCACCTATGGGTCAGTTCTGACAACATACACTTGTAAATATTTAAGAGACTAATCGATGAGTCGCAAGCGACTCGACGGCACATAACAACAACAACAACTGTGAAAAAAATATGCTTAGAAGAAGCATGAATTGGGAAAGAGACAGGAGAACAGAGAGAAGAAAAGAATATATAGACAGCTTATTTCATTCTTAAGAAATTGAGTTATGTTTGATGGAGTAATAACTTTGAGAGCATAATACACTTCATTTGTAAATGAGAAAATTTAAGCATGTACATGTAAAACAGAAATTATAAAATATTTGCAATAATTCTGGAATTTTGAAATGCTATTTTAATGGAGAGTATAAAATTACTGTGAATTAACCAATACCAGTGGGAAAGATAGATTATTATGATTATATCTATTATGCTTAAATTCTCAGGTAATGTCAGAACCATTAGAAGGCTTCCCTATGATCAGGACGCAGACTCAAAATGATAACTTTTCTTTTTCAGCATTAAATGAACCCACTATAGACTATGGTTTCCAGAGACTGCAAAAAGTCATCCCAAGGCATCCCGGAGATCCTGAGAGATTAGCTAAGGTAAAATAGTTTGAAAATTTACATGTGAAAATGATTCTGTAGAATGTTAGAAATATGGAAATGTTTAGCACTTTAATTACCTTTAAATTTAATTGTGAGTTCTGGTGGTCTAGTGGGTAAAGGGTTGCCCTACCAGTCCAAAAGGTAGCTGTTTGAACCCACCACTTACGCTGAGATAAAGACGGATAATCTCCTCTCATGCAACTTACAGTCTCTGAAAACCTGCTGGAGGATCAGTTATAAGTCAATTCTGGCTGAAAAGCATGAGGTTTGTTTTAAAAAAAAATAAATTTTTTACAACTTAAATTTTCTATTCAATTCAAATTAGATGAGTCAATTCTGGCTCAAAAACTAAGGTTTGCTTTTTTAAAAAGTTAAAATTAATTCTATATTGAAATTTGGATCTGAGTCTCTTAAGATTTTTCTAGCTTTAGATACAATGGAAACAAGAAACCTCTATAGTTAATATGATTAATATCTGAGCAAATATATAAACTGAAATTTGGGTCTAAAAAACAGAACTACAAATATATACAATTTATAAAACATTGCTATTTTTATCATAATGGATGGTTGTATAAGTGCTTAAAGTATAAATTATCACTGCATCATAGTTAAATATTATTTTATTTACCCATGATTGCATGAAACATTAACCCACAATCAAATCCTCAATATTTATCACATAAAAAGATGTGAAAAGAACCTCTGTGTAAAATTTCTATGAAATATATTGCCTTTAAATGAACATTTTGATGAAACATAATTCTAAATTTGACCCATGACTTTACCTTACTTAAAACATACATAAAATTATTGTCATTTAAAATGAATAATTGTTAAAATTTAAATTCCATCCACATATGGACTTTTAAACACACTAAATATATAATACTATGTTCATTTCTCTGAACTGTGAGGAAAACTCAAGTACCACAGTTATTTCTACATAACACATTCATTTGACTCTTGGAAAAATCCCCAGCCCCATCATTAAATTAGATGATATCTGGAAAGTAGGTTAATAGCAATTTAAAAGGTTGTAAAAAACAGGAGGTGGAAAGACAAAATGAGAGGAAAGGGATCACTGATTACTAATTCTCTCTTGTTAAAATGAAGAGAGGGACATATTATTAAAGAATTCATCTTTATTTGAATAAAATTTTGCAGAAGGCATTGCAAAGATAATTTCAGTACTTCGGACAGCGCCTTGTCATGCAGCTACACTCTGGTCAATCAAGTATTTGAAGGATATCTGTTTAATTAGAACACTCCTTCCTTCAGTTTCTCTCTTTCTCAATCCCTTCTTTCTTCCCTCCACCCCCTACCCCTCTCTCTCATGGCCATCGCCACTAATTCGGAACCCACTCATAGCTGATCCTCCAGCGGGTTTTCTGAGATTGTAAATTGCATCCGTCTCCCAAGGAGCTGCTAGTGGTTTCAGACTGCCAGAGCAGCACCACGTTTGGGTTCGCAGAGCAAATTCCTTACAGATTATGCCACCAGATTTCACTAATTAGAACACTAGATTCTTTTTTATACAAAGTAATCTAAAAGTTTGGAAGGAGGAGTGGCATCCACTTCCATAATAGCTTGCCTCCGGAAACCCTATGAACCTGGAGAGAGGATGAAAGGCACCCAAGGGTCGAGGACTCTCCTTCATAGGGTTGCTATGAGTCGCCTGCGACTCGACGACACTTAACAATAACAACAACAATCTAAAAGTAATTTATAATTTCCATTACATTTAAAACTTTAACCAACTTCACCTTAAAATTGGTTGGCTAGTCTTTCTGTTTATTTCAGTACATTGTCATTTAGGTAAATAAATATTTATAGAGGAATGCACATGTATGATTATACTCTCCTTGTGAAACCAATATAGGAATTTCCCCCCCTAATTATTACATTTGGGGAGTAAGACTTTGTTTTGCCGTTCTGTGTTTTAACATTTGATGATGCTCCACCATTTGTTTTCTTTAGGAGATGCTGCTGAAAAGAGCTGCAGACCTAGTGGAAGCCCTCTATGGCACACCACACAACAACCAGGTTTGAAGCGTTACATCCTACAGTCTACTGAGCTTGAGACTTCATGCTCGGTAAAATGCTCACCTCTACCTGCTGTTTTGTAGGACATCATTCTGAAGCGGGCTGCAGACATTGCTGAAGCCCTCTACAGTGTCCCCAGGAATCCCAGCCAGATCCCAGCCCTTTCCAGCTCTCCAGCTCACAGTGGCATGATGGGGATCAATTCTTACGGCAGCCAGCTGGGGGTCAGCATCTCAGAGTCAACACAGGGAAATAATCAAGGTATAGTCTTTCTTAGAATCAAAACCCAGATACCTTATACACTTAAAAAGGTGTCTCTGCTGGAATATAAGGAGTTAAACTTGAATTATATACTATGAAACAGAGAGTGTCTGAAGATAAGCAATAAAGCCATATATTGGATTTTCCAATATTATAGGTGGTGTCTTGTTAGATTTTGAGCTTTTTAAGCACAGGTAGAATCTCTTAAACTAGCAATACCTAAGGACAAGATTGACTATTATGAATTTAGGCTTACTGAAACTAGGTTTAGAGGCATCCATTGAATAAAATTTATACTTCTGCTATCAGGATAACCAGATTCAATAATGGAAAGAGGATGAGTTATTGCCGTTGTCATTTATTATACCCAACTCTCTCTTCCTGGTAAACAATAAGAACGGTTTAGTTTTATTTGATAAATTCTAATTATATATTGTCTCTTCTACCAATACATAGCAACAATCATATACAGGTAAGGGTGTTTTATATGTAAAGTATATACACAAAGATTTTTTTTGTCAATATGACCACTTTTATTATTAAGGCATGGGCCTAAATTTATTGTAAAAAGAGCTTTTGAAAGAACTAAATGTTCCTAATAATGGCTCTACCTTTAGGACATTTTTATTTCTAATTTTCCAGAGCACTAAATTACCCAAAAGTTTATTTGGTCATCTTTCTGCAACTATTCCTTAAAAGATGCTAAAGTCTATTTAATTTGGAAAGCATTAGGTCAATATAATAAAGCTTGGAGGTTTCATTCTCTTTATGTGAGTCATCAAGAAGTATCCATCGTTTCAAACATTTGCCGAACATTTTTTTGACCTCAAAATGTTTTCCCCAGTGATGCTAATTAATACGGATAGGGCTGTAGTGCATATGAGATACCATTTGGAGATGCTACTCCAAACTGCTGTCTCATTCCTTGGTGTGAGTTGGAGATGCTGCAGGTTCGGAAGAAAGAGAAGAAACGAACTATCAGAGACATAATGCCTTGTGTCTGGTGAGAAAGAGAGAAGAAGGTCTGTCCATGGCTGTCAAGTCTGTTGTGACCCCAAGCAACTCTACAGGGCAGACTAGAATTGCCCCATGGGATTTTTTCTGTGGAAGAAGATTATCACATTTTTCTACCAAGGAGGTGTTGGTGGATTTGAAAGGCCAACCTTCTGGTTAGCAGTCAAGCATTTAACCAGTGTACCAGCAGGACTCCAAGAAAGATATGTTATTGTTAGGTGCCGTCAAGCAGACCCTGACTCATAGTGACCCTATGTACAACAACAGACAGAAACCAATCCTGAACCATCCTCACAATGTCTCCTTTGCTTCAGACCATTGTCATCACTGTGTACATCCATCTCATTGAGGGTCTAGCAGGCTGAAACCAAATTGCATATTTTTCAACCACTGTCCAAAGCCAGCTTGATGTTATTTTCTCATCTGGGACTGATGCAGACATGTACTAGCTATCTTTGACCCGCCGTATATTTACAAGTTGATTTACATGAGTTTTTCTTTTGTTGTCAAGGATACATCCGCAACACAAGCAGCATCTCCCCACGGGGATACTCTTCCAGCTCCACACCTCAGCAGTCTAATTACAGTACCTCCAGTAACAGTATGAACGGCTACAGCAACGTACCCATGGCCAACCTGGGTGTTCCAGGATCACCTGGATTTCTCAATGGCTCACCCACAGGCTCCCCTTACGGAAGTAAGTGTCCTCTCCAATTGCCTCAAGGTTTAAGTATTCAGCCTTTTTTGTGAAAAGCTGTATTCCTAAGTCTACTAGATTATAGGTTAAGGTTAAGGTTAAGGGGCTGTGTCTCAATGTATTGCATTAGCACAAGCAGTCAACTCCCAACTCTCTGGAGGAACTAAGGGAGGGTGGAGCCAGGTCACAAAGAAGGAAGGGAGCATGATGACCATGCACAAAATAACCTGAAGCTATAGAGTCTGCAACCAAAACTTACTGGTCTGCTTTTCTCTGTGTGGTCTTGGGCATGTCAATTAATTTCTTTCGTCAACTGCCTTGCCTCTCTAATGGCTGAGGACTTTCCTGATGTCATGCTCATCCTCACTCATGTTCCTTTTCCTGAACTGAGCTTTGTTTCTACTGGCTACTCACGGCTTTCTGGAGGAAAGAGACAGAATGAAAGAATAACCATTTCCAAAGAAAGTACATATGTGACCTAAAAAAGAACAGGAGTAAGAGATCAAGGTTTCACTTCTGTTAACATGACATGCACTTTTTACTAGGTACTTTTCTAGGTAATATTGTTACTTTTATCTTTATAAGAGCTCTCAGAGGTTGATTTTATTATCTCCTTTGGATAGATGAGAAAGTTGATATGCACAAGAATTAACTGACTTGCCCAAAACCACACAGTTAGAAGAAAGCGGGTCACTAAGTTTTGGTTGCAGCATTTATGACTTTAGGTTATTGTGCGCCACACACTCTGCCCCCTTCTGCCTTGATTGCATGGCTCCCCCTCCTCATAGGTATCTCCAGAGATTTGCAAGTTGGCTGCCCGTGACTGTAATACATTGAGACACAGGCCCTTAGTTTTAACCTATGGTCTAGCAGCAATTTGGATGCTCTTGAGAAAACCCATTTGTGTTGCTTTAGGGGCTAAACTGGAAGCTTACATAATGGTCCCAGGAGCCTGAGGGAACATGTGCGTGTTTTTCAAACTTACTAAAGGAATGAATACTTCAGGCCAGGGGATATTTGACAAGGAGAGTCTGTAGTGATTGAGTAGAAAGTTCTTGAAATACTGGATCTGGTTGCAGGGCCCAGCAGCATGCTTCTTTCACCCAGAGTGGCTCCTGCCTGCCAGGAACAGGGGCAAGTGGAGGACAGCTCACAGCCATGTCCACCACTGCTTTGGAAGTAGCATGGCTGGGTCCACAGCTGCCTAGCACAGCCTCGGGAGCTGTGTCTCCCTGAGGACATGTGGCCATGAGTTACTTCTGGGTTATTTGTTCAATTCATACATTCACCAAGGCGTGGAGGACAGCACAGGTTAGCTCTTCTAGTACAACTAAAATCTTGTTACTGCAAAGGCATGAGTTCTCTGCTGTCTCTTGTCAGATGACACAGATTAATTAGATTAGATGGATCCAGGAAAACAAATGACTGATCTGTTTCTGTTTATTTGCTTGTTTTAAGCCTTGTGGTGGTGGTGGTAGTGTGTACCTGTGTACCGTTGAGTTGGAAGTGACCCATAGCTGACACACAGTGGGTTTTCAGAGGCAGTTAATTGAATGGGAGATTGCCCATACTTCTCTCCAGTTTTAAGTCTTATCTTTTCTTTTAAAAAAGTTATTATTTTTTGTGTGTACCATCAAATTGGATCTGACTGGTACAGGAGGAGATTATCCCTCTTTCTCCAGCAGAGCATCTGGTGGATTTGAACCACGCACCTTTGGGATTACAGTGCAGCTTCTTGCCACTAGGCCACCAGAGCTCACCAAGCCTTATCTTTTTTAAAAGGTTTTTTTTTTCTCTTAGGTTGTTGTTGCTGTTGTAATGTGCTGTCCATTCGTTTCAATAGTCAAGTGGGCAGTAAAAAATTATAATAAATAAACTAAGAAAAAATGTCCATGAAAGAAAAGATATAGTGCCAAAATAAACTAACTGTTAGAGTAAACATGAGTGCATTCAGTCTGTTCGGTGGTCACTAATATGGTCCTGAAGATGATGCTGAAGCAAACAAACTGTTTTTCTAAACCTTAAATTGAGCACAGCTTGGAACGAAACCTCTGATTTTTCTGTTACTGAGCCCCTGGAGGGACCCCTCCCATGAATTATCATAAAGGGGACAGTCTGTGTGGGGGCCAAACCCTCAACAAGTAATACAATGATAAGAGGTCATTACATAAATCATAGTACATCATGATGGCCTTGACCGAAGGAGTAAAACTGCATTCCATTTCACAATTCGAAAGCATTTTTTTTTAAATTTTTTATTTTTATTTTATTATTTGTGTGTACCGTCAAATCAGATCTGACTGGTACAGGAGGAGATTGTCCCTCCTTCCCTGGCAGAGCATCTGGTGGATTCGAACCATGTGCCCCTAGGATTGTAGTTCGAAAGCATTTTTTATATTTAATGCCATCATAGCCACAGAAGCTTGTGACATGAATATAATAATAGCCACATTTTCAACTCTAAGATAGAAAAAGTTATTAAATAACTTATTCAGGAATTTGTATCCAATAAATAGAACAAAAATGGAAAGAGGATACATGTAATCAGATTCATAATACCATACTTTTTGTTATACCATAAAATAATAAATATACTTCTGATATATCTACCTATATCTCCATCTCACAGGAGAAAGATGGGCAGTGTCCTCCCATGTGATTAACTGCCTCTGAAAACCCACTGCAGGGTCAGCTATGGGTCGGTTATGTCTCTGTGGTACACAACAACAAAAACGATAAATATATAACATATATTATACCATAATATAGGAAATATACTTCTAATATATTACTGGGTTGAACCACATGAAACTGCCTCTATTGACTTTTTTTTTCTACAATGTCATTTCTGTATATAATACATCTATTAGGTTGAAGTCAATGAAATTTTTCATTGTTTTAAAATAGTCACAAACTAAGAAATGATCTAGAATGTGGAAACAGAAAAAGAATGAGGAGTGATGAATGAAAATGTTCAGGTGGCCCTTAGTGATTTTTGTGGGAGGGACGAGTTTCCCCTATTTTGGTACACGCCAGCAAGTGACAACTCCCACCCACTGTCTCTCCTCTAACCCAAACCCAGAGCCGTAAGACAAGCATTATGCTCCAAAGCTTCAAATCACTCGTCAAAACAAAGCCACACACATAGATTCAAACTCAAAACTCATTTGTATTGAGTTAAAACCAACTCATGGTGACCCTCCAGTAGGTTTAGGAGACTGTAAATCACACAGGAGAAGACTGATCACCTTTCTCCTGAGCAGCCGCTGGTAGATTCTAACCACCGGAGAAGGGTTTAGCAGTGCAACCCAGGAAGGACTACGCTATCAGAGATCCTTGCTCACATGACAGGAAAAGAAAATGAGGCCCTGTCCTCCTGACATGGGAAGTAGGACCCAGAGAACCTCCTGATCCCTCTTAACGCCTGGCAGGGTCCTTTGCACCTTCATTTTCTGTGGGCGGTCTGAAGAACTGGCATGCTAGAAATGGGATTCCAAACAGGGCACTCATTATAATAAAATTCCCCTACTTGGAAAATACTTAATACCCAGTGGAGTTCATTACAATACTTTCTGACTTGTATTTCTAACCAGCTAAATCTACTTTCTCTGGGAAAAAGAGAGGTGGGGGCAGGGAAGCAAAACAACAAACCCAGGAGAAAGAATATTTCACCAGTTCAGTTGCTTGTGTCTTAAAATAAGAATCTATGATTTTTCTCATTTTATTATTTAAAGTAGCCTGATGTGGCTGGACAATGCAATGGAGTAATCCCTTGCCAGGGCCATTAAAAAACCAGCCAACCTTCTCGATCAAGGTTGTCTTGCGTTACAGCCAATGCAGAGTATCATTACTGCATCTTTACTGCTTTTGCTCTCAAACTACTTCAAAAGTGTCCAAACAGATGTTTTTTCAATTTTACATACAAACTTCACTTCCTGGCGGTAGCAGTGTGTGCCAAGTTCCAGCTCAGTGCAAGCATTTATGGCTGAATTCTAAGCCCTTGACAATAGGGGGTTATAATGAAATGCTGACAGACCCCTTAGCATCAACAAATGCAATGGCTCGATGCAAAGGAGGATATGTGCCCAGTGGGTTCCAGCTGGGACTGTGCAAGCCAGTCAGTCCTCTGAAGGAGAAAAGTGGTTTTCCTTAACTCCCCATGTTCACATGGATTTCTGGGCCTGACATGCTTGCCTTTGCTATGGCCTCCTCCACAGAGAGATAGCTGTCCGGAGGTCTCAGTTGGGAGAGTATGTGTGATCAACTACTCCAGGATGGTATGCCCCGGGGTCCCCAAAGATGACCTGTTCAACACCTCTGTGGCCCCCACAGAAGGCACTTCTACTGAAGAGGATAACTAAGTCTGAACTTTGGGACAAACGTTTTGGAACCCAATTCAGCCTCAGGAAATCCGGCTTACTTGCATTGACTTTATCCTGGGTTTCCTTGGTATTTTTATGCTTTCAAAACCAAATGCCAAGATGTTGTTTGCTGTCCACTGTTGAATGGTTATTATAGAAAATTTGAAATTTATGCAAATAAATTTTCACATTCTACAATTTCTATTTGTCTATATTTCTATTTTCTTTTTCTATAGAAAGGGGGAAAATCTATTATGATAGAAAAAGTCCCATTATAGAGAATATATATATATATATACAAAGCAAGCCACTTCACATACTGTTCCTGTGCAGAGATAACCATTGTTTGCATTTAAAGTATATAGGCTTCTGGTCATGGACAGATACATTTTGAAAACTGAGATGTCCTTCAGTGACGCACAATGAATGAAATTTGGATGAAAGATAATGAAGGAGAGGATGGAAGAAAACAGCCAAATTACCAAAATTACAGATACCTAGGTAGACTCTGTAAAATCTTTCTGTGATGCAGACGTATGCCCTGAAACATAAAGAACTGTATTAGGAATGATGCATTTTCTTGTTTGTTTGTTTGTTTGTTTGATGCATTGATTTTAAAACTTAACTATCATCACCCAG